AAAGCAACACCAGCATCCAACAAATGGCACTCAGAGAGCCACCCGTTTGGGTGTGTGGAATCCAAGCAGCCGCTGTTTCCCAGTCAAGAGAACTTCCCGGGAAGTGAAAGCTGCGCTTATAGAGAAATTTATAGCTTTAAATGCTTATATGAGAGTAGAGGAAAGGTCTAAAATCAATTTTCTAAGCTTCTACCCTAAGAAGCTAGAAAAAAAAAGTGAATTAAACCCAAAGTTATGTAAAAGTTTAAAAAAAACGTTAAGTGTGGAAATCAATGAAATAGGAAACAGATAAGAATAGAGAAAAATTAATGAAACAAAATCCTGGTTGTTTTTTTCCTTAAATCAAGAAATTGTATAAATCTCTCTTGCTAAATTCATCAAGAAAAAAAGAAAACCACGTATTATCAATATATGGAATGAACGTGCGGACATCACTGTAGATGTTGAAGGATTAATAAGGGAATATGATCAACTTTGTGCAAATAAATTCTATAACTTAGGTGAAATGGACAAACTTCTTAGAAAAATAACACATTATCAAAACAGATTCAACGAAAAATAGAAAATTTTCAGTAGCCTTATATCTAATAACGAAATTGAATTCATAATTTGAAACCTTCCCAGAAAGAAAACTTCAGACCCAGATGACATCACTGGAAGATTCTGTCAAACATTTAAAGAAGAAATAATGCCAATCCTACACAAACTCTTTCAGAAAATAGAGAAGGGAGTACTTCCCAGCTATTTTTATGAGGCCAGTATTATCCTAATACCAAAATGAAATGAAGACGTTTCAGAAAAAAGAAAACCACAGATCAGTATCCCTCATGAATGCAGACACAATAATCCGTAACAAAATGGAATCACATCGAATCCAGTAATCTATAAAAAAGATAATATACTGTGACCAAGTGGGGATTATCTCAGAAATGCAAGGTTGGTTTAACATTCAAAAAATAAAGCAATGCCTACCTCCTAGTTTGTTGTGTAGTGCCTAAGGTGTTAAAAGCTTGCAAGCGGCCATCCAAGACACAACAATTGGTCTCTATTTGCCTGTAGGAACAGAGGAAGAAGGAGAGGCAGGAATAGGAGGAGGAAATGGAATGTGTGGCTAATTCCCTGTATGAACAACTGCCCCCTCGCCATAAGACCGGAAGAACTGAATGGTGCCTGGCTACCATTACTGAACATTTTGATCAGGCATTCTATAGAAGACTCTTGATCAAAAGGAGAAAATGCAGAAGAGAATTTCAAATTCTCATGGAATCCAGATTTTCTGGAGCCATGGAGGCTGGGTGAACCCCTAAAACTATTGCCCTGTGTCATGGATTGAGTTGTCTCCCCCAGAAATATCTGTCAGCTTGGCTGGGTCATGATTCCCAGTGTTGTATGATTGTGTAATCTGATGTGATTGCCTTGGGTGTTGTAAACTCTACCACTGTGATGAGATTATATGTGATCTCCTTATGTGTTGTAAATTCTATCACTGTGATGAGGTTATACTGATGAGGTTGACAAGATTAGATAGTGTCTTAATGCAATCTTTTTTGAGATATAAAAGAGAGAAGTGAGCAGAGACACATAGGAACCTCATACCACCAAGAAGGCAGTGCTGGGAGTGAAGCGCGTCCTTTGGACCTGAGGTTCCTGTGCAGAGAAGCTCCCAGACCAAGGAAAGACTGATGCATCACAAGGACCTTTCTCCACTGCCAACAGAGAGAGAAAGCGTTCTCCTGGAGCCGATGCCCTGAATTTGCACTTGTAGCCTACTGGACTGTGAGAGAATAAACTTCTCTTTGTTAAAAGCATCCACTCGTGGTATTTCTGTTAGAGCAGCGCTAGATGACTAAGACATCCTGAAAGAATCTTTAAACCTTAAACCAAAAATATCCCCTAAAGTATTCTTAAAACTAAACAGTAGTTTAGGTTAACCAGTAAAGAATGTCTGCTTTGAGTGTCGTGCTGTTTTAAGATCTGTCTGTATGGGATCAAACTGACAATAACAACTCAAAAGATTAGATAGGAAATGTAGGGGGGCAGTGAGTTTATGTTGATGTGGGAGGAATAACTCAGAAAAGGAGTGAGAGAATGGTTGCAAAACTGAAAGAATGTTATCATTGTCACTGAATTGTACATGTAGAAATTGTTGAATTTTGTGTATTCTGTGTATATTTTCAACAACAAAAATAAGTTATAAAAAGTTAAATCAGTGCAATTATCAGAAAAAAGGGAAAAAATCTATTATTTTTATGAGTGCAGAAAAGCATTTGTCAAAGTTCAGTACCTACTTGTGATAAAAATTCTCAGCAAACTAGGAATAGAAGGGAACATCTACAACCTGATAAAGGGTATGTATGAAAAACGTGTCTAACGTTATACTTAATAGTGAATGACTGAATCCTTTCCTCCCAAGATTGAGATCAAGTCAAGGATGCCTACTCTCACCACCTGTTCAGTATTACATCTACTTCTCACTTATCCTCTGTCTCA